GAGAAGATATGGCTTTTATAAAATTAGCTGAACTTGCCAGAGAGGCAAATGCAGATATATGGGAAGAAAAAGTTGATAAATACATGGATGGTGGCATGAATGAAGACCACGCCATAAGTAAGGCCAATCGCAAATTAAAAGACGAGGATATGGGTCAGTTTTTGTCTAGATATAGCAGTTTAGTTGAGTATTTACTACAGCTACAAAATGGTAAACTGCATGGCAAAGTCATGCATATGATTACAGAATTAGTTAACGATGGCATGGACACTGTAAAAGCCACTAAAGTGGCCATCAGGAAATATGAACCTATGTTAGAAAGCTATCTAGATGAAGCTATTGAAAACGAAACAAATAATGATGGTTCTGAAAGTGAAAATAGCATTGATGACGATGAAGAGGAAGAGGAGGATGAGGAGGATGAAGACGATGAAAGCTAAACTATATAAATATGAGAACGTTGTACTCTGTATATCATTCTATATTCAACATTCCATGTGAAAAGATGGCCTCTTGGGAAAAGTACTTGAGAAATATTTATTACAATCCAGCTAACCCAGCGAGTTTTGCAGGGCCCGATAAACTTTACAGATTTGTTCGAACAGATGGAAAATTCGTTCTCAGTAAATATAAAATACGAAAATGGCTACAACGACAGGAACCATACAGTTTACAAAGACCATTAAAAAGGTCGTTTAAGCGGAACAGAGTTATCGTTATTGGAATAGACGACCAATGGGATATCGATTTGATGGACATGTCTAAATTTTCTAAATTTAACAGTGGATTCAATTTCATATTGGTGGTTATTGACATATTCTCCAAATATGTATGGCTAAGACCTCTAAAGAATAAGAAAGGCGAATCCGTGGCGACTGCTTTGAAACACGTTTTATCAGAAGGAAGATCACCAAACAGAATAAGAACAGATAAAGGACAAGAATTCAGATCAAGATTAGTAGAATCTCTCCTAAAACAGAGAAATATTCAACATTTATTTGCACAAAATACAGAAATCAAAGCTAATTACGTTGAAAGGGTTATCAAGACTATTAAATCAAAAATTATGATATTTATCACCAGTAAGCAGTCATATGATTATGTGGATAACTTACAGAATTTTGCTAACAGCTACAATAAGACCTTCCATAGAACGATTGGCATGGCACCAGATAAAGTCACCCTATCTAAAGAGACCAACCTGTGGTGGAAAATGTATTGGCCGAAAAGATTACAACCTAAGACAGAGAAAGTACGAAAACCTTTCCGTTTCAAAATCGGTGATAAAGTTCGGATTACATACATGAGAAATCCTTTTACCCGGGAATACGATGAGAAATGGAGCGGAGAGATATTAAAAATATTTCAAAGAATATCACGTGGTGGGCTTCCAGTTTATCGACTTATTGATTTTCAAGACGAAGAAATTTCAGGAACCTTCTACCAATCAGAAGTGCAGAAAGTGGATGTTCGGGAAGACGATATATGGAAAGTTGAAAACATCCTCAAAACAAAAGGCAAAGGACCCAACAAGCAATATTATATTAAATGGTTACACTGGCCAAAGAAATTCAACTCTTGGATTAAAGCTCGCGATTTATCTGATATTTGAGAGAGTTAACTATCCCGGAAAGACTAACTTCAAGTCTCGACAGTTTACACCCCTGCACGAAATATAGCATACTGTTGGCCCTTTCGTGAGGTTAGAGATACTGTTGAGTTGTAGACAATTCTATAATCCTTTTATCTCGATGTATAAAATAGTTATATATAATTTTGTTATATTGTAAAGGCACCATGTGGATGGCTCTCCGACCCATGTCTGTCTGAATTGACGGAGATATTAAATATTGTACAAATTATTGTTGTTATTATTACTAGTGTGGTACCAAGAAGCCGAAACTTAAAAAAAAAATAGGAATACAATCACACAAAAGGAGAATCATATTGGATAATTCCTTGCTCATATTGACATTAGCAAAACCTTGAATCGATACATATACAAACACACACACACACACACACACCTACACACACATACCTGAAAAATGATAAGCATCTACATACATTATTCAATGAAAACAATTAATTAATGTCAGAATACCTAAAAATGACGTCATAGAAATAAGCCTCACATCGGGAGGCTACCTCTCAGGAGGCTACCTTTTTCCCATAGGGTTAACATTAGACGAAAGTCGCCAGAACCCCCACTTCCCCCACTACTAATGTATACTCCATACGCGGATAAAGTTGGTAAACTGCTACTCCGGTGAGGAAAATTTGTATTTTCAAAATTGAAATCATCTCGTTTGTCATAGACTCTGGTATTGAGATGATCTCTGTAGTCAAATTCGGGGTATATGTCTAAAAATGAGGCTGAGGAAGCTGTGTATGTAGTGTCTGTAATCTCTAGTTCAGGAATATTAATGGGACCTAATCAGAAAAATTTGTATTGTTAATGGAAAGAACATCTTCAATATATCTGTATGTAAAATTAAATGATATAGCTTCTTGATCTAATCCTTACGAAAACAAAAAAGTATATAATAAGAAATTTCCAGGGGAAAACCCCAGACCCCTTCTCTTTTCACTCATTCGTGGATGCATTTAGCATTATAAATACAAAGATATTTACTTTTCGACAATTTACGCACCTGGAGGTTGTTTTATCTTGAATACATAGTTAGCATTTCATCTTAAATGAAAACAGACCTAAATAAGGGTCTTTATGTAAATAATATATATCACCCAAAATAAATGAAAGCTAATTACAATTATATCAATGGGTAAAAGAAATGCTGTTTTCTGATCATTAAGTCTAATCACGCCTTATTTTTCGCGAACTAAATAATACGTTGCCTGATCTTTCACGATTAATTTTGATTAAAAATCAACAAAATTAATTTTTTTTCAAAAAATTATATGAAGTTTTTCAAGTTATAACATGCATTTATGTTACTGGACTATCGGACACACTAAATATTAAGTTTCAAACTTTTCGTTATAAATTGGAATGTGACCATTACAGGTACAAAACGTGATTTTTTTTCTTGAAGATTATCATATGATTGTGTTTCACCTTTTGTGTTTTCATAAAAAGTACTGCAATTTTTTTAAAAGTAGTATTATGAAGGAAGTTGAATCATTTTGACAAATATATTTCTTTTTTCTGATTTGTTCCACCTTTTGAAAGTACGGCAGATTTTTTCACAGATTTGAAGTAGAATTGCACTTAATTGCATTCACGATCCGATCGCAATGCTAGACCATCGTTAGTTATTCTTTCACGATCATTTTTCTCGATATACCGAATGACACCTGTGAAAAAAGTAAGCCAGGCGCGTAGCTACGTTTACGTCAAAACGCCTGGGCGTGCACATGGATTTAGGAGAACAAAAATAGTTTAATCTAGATAAATCAAAAGAAATGGTTAAATTTAAAGCACACAAGTCTTGTAATTTTTTTCTTCAGTGAATTGTAATTAAGATGAAAGTGACAAAATTTACTTTTTAATCAAATGGTATCATATTATATATTTGTTTATTTTCTGTCAGTCTGAATTTACTATGAATTATACTCAATTTCCTATTGTTCAAAAGAATTCATTGTCGGGTGAGATACGATATGTGGTTTGCATTTTAGTCGAGCCTGCGACATTTATGTCGCGAAAACGAGATTTAGCGAACAACCTAAGATTCCGTCGGCGACGTCAACATTTAGGTTCAGCCTGTGGTTCATTTTTTTTTTTATTAAAATACCATTAACTTTGTCAAACCTTCATGGAATTCTACAGAAGTTGGACTGAAGCGTATTATGATCAAATTAAAGACAGTATTCAGAACAAAATTTTTAAAGTATTTCTTTTCATTTTACTGATAAATGGACTTAGTTAATTTTTACAGTTGCTAATATTTAGATACAGTCTTAGGTTAAAGTTAATAACTTTGTCAAACCTTCTTGATATTTTATGAAAGTTGATCACAAGCTTCTTTATAACCAAAAGTCACTATTCAGAGCATTTTTTTTCGTATTTTACTGATAAAAAGTTTGTTGTTTTGGAGATACAGTCTGTGTTTAAAGTTTGTTACTCATCAATTTGTTTGTCAAACCTTCATCGAATTTTATGAAAATCTTTTTTATGATAACGAGATAATGTCTGAAGCAATTTTTTTTTTTCATTTTTCAGGACTTTACAGACTTATTTTTTTGTGTGCAAATAACAGACGATCTGGAATTAATTTTTTTACATGATAAATGTGTAAACTTTTAAAGCTCTACTATCATAGATTGTGATGAAACTTGGAAATAAGCTAATCTTCAAGATCAAGAAAAAGCATCTGAAACAAACTTCGACTTTTTTTTAAAATCCTGTATTTGACTGATAAGTGGATTCAACTTTTACAGTCAACATTACACTTTTACAGTCAACATTACACTTTTACAGTCAACATTACATGTTTACAGTCAACATTACACTTTTACAGTCAACATTACACTTTTACAGTCAACATTACACTTTTACAGTCAACATTACACTTTTACAGTCAACATTACACTTTTACAGTCAACATTACACTTTTACACTGACATCAGCAATCCCAGGTGAGACACAGGATTCCACGGAACCCTTTACGAATTTTTATATTACAACTGGCCATTTATGAAAATTAATTATTCCATTTGTCCATTAACGGAATTTTGCGCATAAAAATGGGAGAACTTAAGACGAAGTCAAAATAAGCAATAGAATCACAACATTGGAATGGAGACTTGAATTTTTTGTCGATTGATTTTTTTACCCCACATCTTCTTTTTAACATATTTTATAGTAACTTTTGGGACATGTTTCTCTAAGACCAATGATCAATTCACAAGATTCCAAGTTAACACAATAAAATAAATTAAATTAAACATTAAAATAAACAAATTAGACTTTAAGGTATGTTGTTATTGATCAGTTTTTAATGACAGAAATGGTATCACTTTCTTGATAATGCGTGAGCTTCCGGGTGCTTTGTCCCCTCGAACCTCCTAACAGGAGGTTTTCTGCCCTTCATCCGTTCAGGGTTTACATGCCTCTCGCCGAGGTTCGGGCGTTCACTTAAAAATGGCCTTGCTACGCCACTGTAAGCTACTGTTTAATCATAAACATTGTATATAAAAAATATTAATCGATAATTTACTGTTATTAAAGCACACCATACATATATATAAATAAAAATAATACATGGTCACACGTAGTAGAGAACGTAAGTAAACAAAGCAAGTCCAGATGTTCTACTTTAACTAACTATTTATAAATAATTCATTGAAATGCAAGGGATTTACTCATCCGAAATCTCTTAAACACCAATAAATTCACCATCAAGCATGTCTGGTGACCTGACGGATCATTATGTTAAAGTATGTCAAATATATAATCGTTTTTTGTCTAAAAAAATAAGATAGGGTATGTATTTGTGTTATTCAAAATATAGGAAAAGGGTGGGGTACTCAATTTCTCAGCTGCTCAATCTACTAGTGCTCACTCTAACCACTAAAAGGCTCAGCGGCACCTCAGCGGCACCTCCACCTCCAAGGTTTTATTCGTTTTTTACGCTTTCGAATTTCTCGTGAATGCATCAGTGACACAATAGTCCTCGTTACAGTGAATTTAGTAACTTTGCATTTTTTACAAGTTATTACTTTAATAGTTTGCAAGCTGTTATCATTTCTAAAATTATGATTGTTATTGATTATAATGCTAGTTTAGATTAAGCATTAATAAATAAAAAAGCCGAATGAAAATGTTGAATAGAAGTTCATGAGATCTTACAATGTTCTTAAAGGACTATATTTAGGTCTATTTAGTGCAGCAACGGAAATATGTCATGCATATTAAGGACGAGAACACATTAAAAGTTAAATCATGTATAATCTATAAATAGGTTCTTTTAAAAGAGTTCATTTGGATGGAGGGCGGGAAATTTAAACTACACTACAAAAGTCAAAAAGTCTGAAAAGACCAGTTTTTGTCTGAATTTGCATGAATTTTTACTCGACATTCTTAATTTGTCTGAATAATTTTTAAAAATTCTTGACATAGTATGAATTTGTCTAATAAGGTTCTTGATTTTTCTTGACAAGTGTCTTGACAGTATGAACATTGTCTTAAAATTTCTCGACACTTCCTGTATCATCTGATAAGAGTCTGGATTAGTCTCGACCAATTCTTGACTGTCTTAAATTTGTCTCGATCTGTCTTGACATATTCTTGACATTCTTAATAATGTCTGAATATGTCTCGACATATTCTTGACATTCTAAATAATGTCTGAATATGTCTCGACACATTCTTGACAGTCTTAAATATGTCTTGACACTATCTCAACAGTATAAATTTTGCCTGAAATGTGAAGAGACTTATTCTGCACTGTTTATGACATTCTATTGCTGTTATATACTCCTTTTTATTATGGCTAAACTAAACTTTGAAGAATGAAGGACTAATTTGGTATATATAGTAAGATACCCTTTTGGTGCAACTAAGTTGTAATACCCTGAATAATCCCCCATGTAGTTTAATTTTGATTTATTTTTATTAAACATTTAAGTAATTGTTTTCACTTGGAATATAAGTAGAAGGTATTGACAAACAGCATTTAGATTTTTGCCGTTCGCAAAACTGCCAGTCAAATTTGCTTTACTAAAATAGGTGTCTTGTATCTCTTTTGGACACCACAATTCATTTTTGGGTTTGTGTAGCTAAAAAAAGAGGGGGGGGGGCTTTCGTTTAGGTCAAAGAATTTGTTCCCATCTTGATTCAAAAACCTTATTCATTTTTTAGAACAACCCAAAAACATTTTTTATTTAAATTTGAGTTTTGAATTTTATAATTTTTTATAAATAATAAAAAAAACTCCTTCCTGAAAAGAAAAAAATGTTTAGATCTATATTATGCATGTCTGTTTGAGAACCATTTCTATAGAAATCATTGATGGGACCCATTATAAATACATTTTTTTTATTATTCCTGGAGTAGATAATAATTTTCTTTTAATCTTTGGGAATTATTCAATTTGTTTTTATGTTAAAATAATTAACTTCATAATTTTGATGAAGAAAATCCATTTCAATTCAATTTTTTTTCATCAAAATGATGATTTTCATTTTCATCTATCAACAAACTTTTTAAATTGCAGTGGCATGGTCGGTCAACTGATAAGTTGTATGGCTGATTACAGGTAAAGCAATAACTTCTATTTGACAGTTGCGTGTACTCTGGGGTGTGGAATACCTTAAATTTATGGGTAACATCCTGTCCATGTGTAATACTTAATATATTCCAACAGATGACATTACACAAATTTTTCTTCTGTTAAATGAATGATTTGTATATCATCATAATTTGCTATTTATATAAACCACATTTTGGTATAATAATTATTTACCATATCAACATTGATTATTATGAATGTAGAATGAAATATGTCTACAGTATGATTGGTTTGAATCATTTAATTTATAAGATTTAGGAATCAAAATTTGTAATTATTTAAAAACCCACATTGAAATTGTTTTATATCAACACAACCACATTTGAATTATTTTATACTTTAGATTTCATAGCCATATTTGCATTTGTAAAAATATTTATATACCCAAATTTTCAATTATTTTACATGCCCAACTTTTATTTTTGTTGTGAAGAAGTGTAACTTGAAACAACAGTATATCATATAAAGAGAAATAAAGATTAAAGTTATATCATGAATATTGGTCATGATTTGTAAAACTCAGAACTGTCAAGTAAATTTAAGACACGATTCAAAATGTTCAGAATATGTCAAGCCATACTGAGAAAAAATAAGAATGTCGAGAATATGTCGAGAAATTTCAAGGCAGTATTCAAATGTCAAGAATTTGTCAAGAAATTTTAAGACCATATTCAGAATGTCGAGAATATGTCGAGTAAATTTCATACAAATTTAATATAAATGAGAATTTGTCAAGAAAAATTAAGACACAAGTCATACTTTTGGAGAATGTCGAGTAAAAGTTCATGCAAATTAAGACAAAAACTGGTCTTTTCAGACTTTTAGACTTTTGTAGTGCTAGCTGCTACTGCGGTTAGGAACATGAATAGTCTTTTTGTCAATTCCGTCTTGTCATTTCAATTGCTATTTTTCATTAAAAGTTAGTTAAAAATGAATATAATATTCAACTTATCATCCTTAGTAATTTGCATGCATGTTTATGTCATACCATTACCACACTGTTAAAGTTGCTTTGTCGACCAGAACGAACAAACTTGAAGTTTCTAAATTCTATAAATCCTAGAAATGAGCGTATTATTTACCCTTTTATTTTAGTTCTAAATTACTTTCGAAATGTGATCTGCGAATATTCACAATACTTACATATATTCAAATAGGAACCTATTGAATTATTGTCAGATTTAATTTTTTATGAACTGATGACCAAAGAGCATCTTTACAGCCGATTGCATTGAGTGTGTAAGTAAAGGTAATATCTTTGGTTGATCTTGGTTAGCTTGCTTGTTAGCTGAACCGTGAAGTCATTATTAGGTAAGGTATACTACCCTCCTTTTGAAGTAGCCTAGTCCTACAGACAGATATATTGGTTATCCGTCGGACTAGTCTACTCTTAAAGGAGGGTAGTTTACCTAACCTAATAATGAATTCACGGTTCCGCTAGCAAGCAAGCTAACCAAAGATATTACCTTTACCTACACACTCAATGCAATCGGCTGTAATGAAATGACGACATGGTCTTCGATGGAGGACAATATTTTGGACCTTTTTTCAGAAAGTTCATAACTCCTCGGTCTTAATCGGTATTGAGACAGGTCCCCTGTAAATATATGGACATAGGGACCATTTCTAAACCAAGTCCTTAGTCCGAGACTGCTTTTGCGTCTGTCGGCCTTTTTAAGACTTGTTGAGGCAATTATATGCAACCGTACGGCCTTCGACAATAAGAAAAACCCATACTGTATAGTCGGCTATAAAAGGCTCCGACATGAAAAATATGAAACAAATCAATTGAAAAAACTAACTGCCTAACTTATGTCAAAACAACTTACAAAAAACAAAGATGACAGACATGAACCAACGACAACCACTGAACTACATGCTCCTGACTTGGGACAGGCACATAAAGAATGTGGCGGATTACGATTTTGTTATCTCTTCGTATAGGTTTGTGATTTTTTACATTTTTATAAATATCTTTTTTCTTTTACGCTATTTAATTACAAAATTTTACGCCACGAATATCACGTGACGAATATGTAACTTTTATTCACATACTAACCCCCTGTAGCACAAATAGATTTTATTTCTTTGAAAATTACTTGTAGTATATGATGTTTAATTCGTTGATTGCGGTTAATAGTTACTTTTGCAATGAAACCTATGACTATGTTGTCCTTTTAACAACAATATTCATGATACCAATAGTGGAAGTTTTAAACATGTTCCGTTGGCCAGCGATATTTATAGATTATCGTTTGTCATCTCAACGAGATTGATTTTCTCGCTTGAGCCGGTAAAAGCAATCGAGTTGAGATGACCAATGATAATCTGTTTATCGCTATTTTATCTATGACGACGTTGTTAATTTCATTGACAACGGCACGTGCGCCCTTAGTTTCTAGCGATAATTTTTCATATCACTCTACTGTGCTGAGAAAGGAAATTATCAGTCAGTAAGATCAAAGGAAAATTTCGTAAAATAGCGATAATATCATTTAAACCGAGGGGATATGCTGTCCGTATAATCGTTTAATCTAAGACAGCTCGGGAATCTTCTAATTGTTTATATAATTGTGCTGGTTATCACAGGACGGTTTCGAGTGGTTGGAATTTTATATATAAAATTAATATGTGTATGTGATTTCCTAAAATACTGGTAAACCTAACTTTTGAATTTCTGAGTTCTGTGGAAGCGGTGTATATATATTCTTGTGTTGTTTAGACATGCTAATCCGTCGGCAGCGATACATACACGTGTTCGCGTAAAGCTTTATATTTCAGAAGACACGGATACTTCATATCTTGTTTACAGATGCCTTATATTACGATGTTTCAATCCGTTATATATTCAGTGTCCTTGACATCGTTTCCATGGTTCAGTTACTGCTTTAAAACAATACTGATTAGTTTGTGTTTTTGCCCATGTATTTCTGACTCATTCTATGTTTTGTATATGGGATCCTTACGTGAAATCACAATTATAACGATTGATGAAACAGTCAAAGAAGCATCCAAATTTTCGTGAATACAGTATATTCATAGTTGCAAATTTTGTCGTATTAAAAGAATAATAAACTTTAATTTATGAAATTGATAATTATGTTTTATTAAGCATATACAGGAATGCAGATGAATGATGATTTTGGCCAAGGTGTCTGTATGCCACCAGCTGAAATACCATCAGAGGTTAATGTACTCATTAGCAGTGCACATATTACAACAGCTGATGCAATACCTGAACAAAATGTATTGATTGTCAATGACATAAAGAATCAAGAAGATGATGCAACATCGAATACAAAACAGTCATTAAGGGAAAGATTGGTGAAAGATGATATTTTCAGGCGTAAATTTATATTATGGATTTTCCTTTGTATGTCTAGCGGCATTCTGGTGAGTTTTGAATTTACTACACTATTAGATTAGATTATTGATTTTAATTATTAGTTGAAATTATTGGAAGGCAAACCAGGGCACAGATAGAAAAAAATCTCATGTAATATTTTCCAAGGGATGAATTGCAATAATCAGTTATAAGATTTGTATTTTTTGTTTGCAGATGTGTAAAATTAATAAATATATAGTTTATGTGTCATGTTTATAAACACAGAATAGAACGAGCGATGACCTCTCCTCGGTTGGTATTTATAAGATGCAGGTGATTACTGTATCTCAGAACCTAAATTAAAAGGGACCTAAAATAGAACAACTAAAATTGCCTAAGTTCAAAGGTTAACTTTGACGGCGGAAATTTAATTGTGGTTAACTAAACCATGCAAGTATAACGAAACATTATATATGCAATGCCGTCTTTGGTGTTAGTGGTTTGTTTAATAATATGTTCCTACGTGTGTTAGAGCAAACAAAATGTCATTAGAAACTGGAATAAAATGTATTTTAGGGTTGGGTTATTGGACAATTAGGTCCTTCGCTGCTGGACCTGAAAGAGATAACTAATTGCAGACTAGAGGAAGCTTCGTTTTTTCTGACGTCGGTGTTTATTGGCTATCTTATGGGAACAATTGTCAGTGGAGCAATATACAAGCGGATGAACCCGTTCTTGCTGATTTTCCTTGGAATAACCGCTCTCGGTGTCACATCTGCGGCGATTCCGTGGTGCTCTCTTTATGGAGTAATGATTTCTATGCATATACTAAAGGGTTTTGGTTTTGGCGTTCTCGATACAGGTGAGAATTCTAATTTTCTAGTTGAAAAATACATATGAAGTGTAATATGATTTAATTATTATATTTTCCCCTTAATTTTATAAAGCTAGGATACTTCTTCAATTGTGACGCTTTAATTGACATAATTAATTAAAACATTTTAATTGCTTGTAATATGATGTCAAAGCTTTATTGTACACTAGCTGCGGAAAAGTTATTTTATTTTTCTAACAGATAAGACATTTATTTTCCTAATGACCGTTTTCCACTTTATTCGCCGTATGTAATATCGCACTTTTTAATAATTATGTGCAGTACAAAAAAATTTGTTTGTTTTTCTAACAGCCGGAAATTCTGTGTTTATTTTCAACTTTAAACACGAGAAGGGAATACAGTCATATCTACATGCCATACATCTCATGTTTGCTGTTGGTGGGTTTTTGTCTCCAATAGCAACAGCGCCGTTTCTAATGCAGGATCTTCCTAGCACACAAATGGACGAAAATCTAAACTTAACCATCTACCAAAATACTAGTTTGTTATCAACATCAAGTTTACCTTCTATTTTATTCATAAAAAACAGCACTGATTTTTCAAAAGTGCAGTATGCTTTACAGACGGCTAACAATTCTAACATGACATATAATGATGATTTACATGATAGAAACAATACTGAGCACATTCAAAGACGTTCAGTACTGTACAAAGCATATCTGATTTCAGCAGGCCTCTGTTTCATGCTTGCGATACCATTTCTTTTCATGTGTTTTACCAACAATGAAACATACAAGGAAGAGAAATCGAAACAAATGGATAAAAAAACGGAATTGCCTATCCGTATAAAATTTAGTATTCTTTTTTTAATGTGCCTTTTCTTAGGAATCGACAACGGAATGGAAGATACATTTTTTGGACTATTTACTACATTCGTTGTGGTTCAGCTTGGATGGACGAAAAAAAGCGGATCATACATAACTTCTCTTTATTGGGCATCATTTGCTTGTGGTCGTCTTAGTGCTATTTTTATCGGCCGAAGATTGAAAGCTTCAAAATTATTACTTTATTACACTAACGTTTTTCTCTTAGCTATGATTGGACTTTTTGTGTCCACAAAATTTACTTTTGATATAGGAATTTGGATATTTTTTCCAGTTATGGGATTTACCGTATCTGTTTTCTTTCCATCAATATTTATATGGACGCAAGATTTTCTAACTGTTGCTGGAAAAGTGTCATCACTTTTATTAATTGCGGCGTCATTAGGATCTATGCTTAACCCGATTTTGATTGGATATTTAATGGATAATAACGATTCAATGTGGTTTGCTTATATAACATTAGCGGATGGTATTGTAATGTGGATTATGGTGTGGGTAGCTACTTATGTTTCTCATTATGTTAAAAAATATCGTGTGGATATAATAGTTGAATGTACTGAAATTCAAGAAAATAGTTCATAATAGTATGTCAGGGTTGAAATCCCTGTAACACGTGCGATTAATGTGTTGTGTTGTATAAAACTTCACCAGGAACGCTCCGAGCTAAAAATTGGGCAACCAAAGAGGAATAATACATTTGGAACGGTTATGCAAAAAATGGAATTAAAAGAATCATCAAAAACCGTCATAGGGCAACTTCCAGTTTGCCTATAAAAGTTGCTAAAATAGTTTTTTTTTTAATAAATTATTAATTTTTAACTTACTTTTACGTTGAAATTTAAAGAGACAATCTAAAATAAGTATAAAATAAGTTATTTTGTATTGTTGTTCAGATATGTTTAAAGAACGTTTTTTGCATGTATAGTAAAAGCAATATTACCACCCTGGTAAGATAGAGCGGAGAATATGAAGTTTGTTTCGACCCTTATGTCTATTGTTTTTTAAATTTTGAAATAAGAAAAAAAAATAATGTGGAGCTGTCTTACACACACACATATATATATATATATATATATAGCGGTACGCCACTAGTAAATTGATATGTATCATGGCTTGAACGCGGTGAATTCGACCTAAACATCATCTGAAATGTCTAAACATGAAATACTTCTTGATAAGTGTTTGAGTAAAATTTCAGATATCTCTTTGCAGGACATTTAACACCTATTTATGACATTTTTATAGGTTCTGAAGATAGTGACTGGCGTCATGAAGAAAGGAATTTTATTCTAAATAACTTCCAGGTTGTCGTTTGTTGATGTGGTTCATAAGTGTTTCTCGTTTCTCGTTTTTTATATTGATTAGACCGTTGGTTTTTCTGTTTGAATGGTTTTTACACTAGTCATTTTGTGGGCCCTTTATAGCTTACTGTTCGGTGTGAGCCAAGGCTCCGTGTTGAAGGCCGTACTTTAACCTATAATGGTTTACTTTTACAAATTGTGACTTGGATGGAGAGTTGTGTCATTGGCACTCATACCACATCTTCTTATATCTATTTGTAAATAAATTTACTTCCTCTTATCAATACGATTTTACAATGTAAAATAAGAATAGAGGGGCATCATATATAAACAACTGTTATTGTGAAATCGTGTTGATCGTAAAATAAGAATAGAGGGCATCATATATAAACTACTGTTATTGTAAAATCATGTTGATTAGAGCAAGAACACATGAAATAATCAGTTACAATATTAGGGGCCTTTACCTAAAACAATTAAAAAATAATGATAATTAGGAAAAAACAGAACATTCCTGTTGCAGCCATACAGTTAGTTTAATCTCGTAGTTAAATGGTGGCGTTAAAAAAATTACAATAACCGTCATTGCATGATCAAAATCTGCATTGTTGATATATTTTTTTTTATTTTGTTGAATATGAAATGACATTGTCGTGTTTGTGTCATTAAATATTTATAGCAATTTATTTAGATATTCATACAAATGTCATTGAGCAATGTAATTTGATGAAGAGGAATTTCAGCCTGCATGTACATTGCAGAGCCTTTGTCAGAAAAGTGCGTAGAAATTGAACTTATGCAAATGAATATCGATAAATTAGTTGACCTATTTCGGGTTGAAAAATCTCTATGGAAAGTCTGTCACTGTTTGAAAATTGAGCTGTTATAAGAAAATCTACGAAACAGACCAAAATTCATCTTATATTGCGTATTTGAATGTTTCAAAATCAATCAATGTCCTATACATGCATGTACATATATACTTGCACTTTCATAAGGTCGATTTCTATCCGACGCAGCTCAATGTAAACGAATGACCTCATTAAACCTGGATACTATATATTCAACACGTATTGTTGTTTTGTAAAAGTGAAATCAAAATGTGAGTATTTAATATGTTTTTTATGAAAGATTGATTGGTGCTTGCCCAACGTCCAGCGGCAAATATTTCAGGCATGTTCAGGACGAGAACAAATTTGTATGACACGTATTAACCTTGTTAACAAAAGTTTTGAAAATGTTGATGAATTTAACTTTTTTGTCAACATGTTATGTATGTGCTTATGAATTGCACGATATAGATATATTAGTACGGTGACAAATAAGGTAAATTTGAAAATTTAATGGACCGAAATACCTCACGGCTAATTTTGGTCTTATTTTGTAGATAAATATAATATCCTTTGATTAAGGCGTGTCGTAGAGTGCCAAAGTGGTGCAGATGTTTGAAAACTGCGGTCAAATGTCAAAGGGGGGGATTTTAAATAAATTTAGACATTTTGGGCAATTTCTCGGTAGTCTCTCATGTTAACTGAGAATTTTTTTTTGATGGAAGCATGCGCTAGGAATAATACACGAATACAGCTAGTCATATTTATGTCTGATTACCAGAGATTAGTGATACATACCCTCGCTTGCAACATGTAAGAAAATGAAACAAATATCTTTATCTACGGAAATTATCGACAAAAAATATTCATAATTAAGATTTAGCTATGCAATAATATATGACCACATATGAAGATATTTTTGGGAAAGTTTTGTTAAAATGCCATAAAGAACAGAGGAGAAATAAGAACTGTAAAGTTAACACCCGGTCCATGATGTTATGAAAAAAAAATATGAAATTCTTGGCTGATTATTTAAAATTAAAAGGATGTTAGAACTATAGAAATTAGTCTTTATGTTCATGACACTATAGTATATGAAGTTTGTTTTTATGTTAATAAATAAATCAGTACCGTAGTAGACCAATAGCACAATTAGAAGATGTTTCCCCCTTTTTTATGAAACAACGACAGACATGGTTGTCGTTTGTTGATGTGGTTCATAAATGTTTCTCGTTTCTAGTTTTTTATATAGATTAGACCATTGCAATGATTTTACACTAGTCATTTATTGGATCCCTTACTGTTCGGTATGAGCCAAGGCTCCGTTTTGAAGACCGTACTTTGACCTATAATGGTTAACTTTTACAAATTATGACCTGGATGGAGAGTTGTCTCATTGGAACTCATACCACATCTTCTTATATCTATAAACAATGGAATATATAGCAGACTTGAAAGCCCGATATATATGTGAACTACAAACAAAGATTCACAGGGACATTACGCTTCAAAAGTTGCTGTCTATGTTTAATTATAATACACTAACACTAGACATCAATATGCACATCAATTTGAAGAGGTAACGGAATACTAGAAAAAAAATTGGATGTCATTGTATGGCGCCGACAAAACTCATGAGTTTATTCAGATCACCATGTACTGATTGACCATTACTTCTGGGGTCATTTTGATCCGCGGTGAATTGATTTTCACTGCAACATATGTGTCAATATAAGAACCAGCAAGAATGACAAATTTTGATACATGCATGTTTTCCCCGACCCCTTGTAATTGTCTTCCTTTGCCAATTTCGATTAGAGAAGACGTGTCGCATCCTGTAAGAGCGCGAGCTGCTGTTGGTGTGCCAGACATCAGGGGTCCAATAACTTTTAAAAAGTTGCATATGTCGTGAATAGATAAAAACAGTTTTGTGGCTTTGGTTGAAGAAACGCCTCCAGTCTAAAACCAAAATTCAACATGTTTGACGTCTGAGGAAAAGACCTTATTAGAAATAAAACATAACTGTCATGATTTTAATATGATGCAACCCTTGGAATAACTTTTCAATATCTGTTCATTGGCAAAAAAAGGCGGCAGAATAATTCTTATATCTGCCTCTTCAGTGACTTACAGATCCTACACAAAATTGCTTCACAGTCTATAGATTTTGAAAAGATCCCGCTAGAAATATTTCGTCATTTTCTTGCAAATCACAATCATTGTAGTGTGATAGTGCATAGTTACAATGTACCTACAAATCTTATCAACCCATGTTTATTTTCAGGTGCACAAAGAAATTTCTTACAATCTCTAATTGATCTGCATTCAATGACTTGAAGAACAATTTGGATCTACCACCATTTGAAATAAACCTTATTGGTCCCTTTGACGCCTTTAATAGCTGACTATGTGGTATGGGATTTGCTCATTGTTGAAGGTCGTGCGGTAACCTATAGTTGTAAATATCTGTGTCATTTGGTCTCTTGTGAAGAGTTGTTCCATTGGCATTCAAACCACATCTTCTTTTTATATACTAGTACACCAATGTCCGATGTAAGGAGAGGGTTGGGCGCCCGCTGACATGTTTAACCTCGCCACATTCTGTATGTGGCGGTCCCAAGTCAGGAGCCTGTTATTCAGTGGTTGTCATTTGTTGCTGTTACATTTATGTTGTTCGTTTATTATTTTGTACATTAATTAGGCCGTTGTTTTTCTCGTTTGAATTGTTTTAAATTTACATTTGTCAATTCGGGCCCTTTATTTCTGACTATTCGGTAAGAGTTTTGCTTATTGTTGAAGGCCGTACGGTGATCTATAGTTGTAAATGTATGTGTATTTTTTGGTCTTTGTGGAGATTTGTCTAATTGGCAATCATACCACATATTTTTTTTAATTGGTTTTAAAGCAGTCATTGGCCAAATCTCAATAACTGTTGTACCATTTTACATAAATACTTCGGACGATACCAATACCATCTATCTGATTAGGGGTGTACTGGTTTTCATAAAGGAATATAACACACTTAGCTAAAGTATGCATTTCCGTTCAGTATCAAATGAGAGTGCATTGTAATCATTATCCATTTGAAAATAATTGTCGTCTACTAACCAGGCAAAATATTTATCAGAGAGGTTGGAATACATTGTAAAGATAGAAATAATTTGAAATTTCGAACGATCGTAAATAGTTTTTCACAATTTTTTTTCGCAAAATGCAATATCTGTAAACATATGTAACTGGCAAACTATACGACACCGAAAATGGTTTTTTTCTTTCTTTCGCAAACAGATCATCATGTAGACTTTCTATAAGTATTTTAAAAGCAACATCATGCCCCGATCAATTTGAAGCATCAGAAGCAAATTATTTTTAATTGCATCAATTAGTTTTAAAACAATGCATGCTGAATGTTAAAGCGGCTTGTCCTTGAAGTTATTAATGAAGAGTAAACTCACCACTGGATTGTCTGCCTGATAATTTGCGTCATTTAAAACAATATCGGCACGCTCAAATGACTCGACATGCCTTAATTGCTTAGCTTGTTGTATGAATTTTGTCTCCAGAATAGACATTTTTACCAGTCATGGTAATGCCATGGAGCGCGTTTTAACGAAAGTTGATTCATCGTTACACGCATGGGTTTTTTCACTAATTCAAATGCATGAAAATGTTTTCTTCTTGGACATGTAAAGGCTTAATAACACGATCTAAGCTACTTTACTCGTTCTTATTTAATGGAATAAGCACTGACAATAATTTTCCGGAATTTTTCGGATGTGTTCCAATGTGGTTTAAAATTAGTCTTTTCGAAAAACAAAAATAAAAGCACCTCAAAAGTTATTAAACCTTAGCATCTGTACTTATTCAAGCACATAGACACAACTGTTGATACAAATATATATTCTTTTTTATAAAACTTAAGGAAATGCATATTAAATTTATTGCATTTCATATGACAGGGAAAAATAGGAAAGGGGAACGTTACATGACTTATTGAGGTGAAAATTTAGTAGTAATACTGCTATGTGATGAGTTTTATAAAAATGCTTGTAAACGTTGATTTGTATGTTCTATCAAACTTTTATATATTAAAACTTCTTAAGTATTGGTTGTTCCACTATTTTTTGTGAAAATTTACTATTGGTGATATATATAAGAAATGTAATATACTTTGACGGACGGTAAGATTGAAAAAAATGTTACATACATTTGAAAATCGTCCAATTCACTCAATGTATATGTTCATATGATATTAAAGTTTGATTTCAAATAAAAGCTGATACATAATTCTTTCATCTGATACCAATTTTTTGATGATATCTTCATTCGAAAATTTATTATAAGCGTTCCCGTGTTTGAAAATGAAAAAGAAAAAAATCCGAAAATCACACTTTAACGCGATTTTACAAAAAACTGCACCGTGGGAAAACTCTACGACAGGGCTAAAATGAAAGTATAATGTTTATTCTATCTTCATGTGAATTTTCAGCCGTGAGGTATTTCGGTCCATTAAACTCTTTAAATAAGCGACTTTTCCTGATTTGTCACTCCACTATATAGACTATTTAAAGTTCAAACTTTAATTCGGGTTGTGAGTCCCGGGTGATCGTATATACATGCATTTTGTTTAATGTGCATCGATCGGTATATATATTTGTATATTTACTTTATCTTTGTTTTGTACTTCTGTACAGGGCTCCTATATTCCACATCCACACTTTTTTACCCCCTATATCCCACCGTGGTCCCCACTACCCCCCATGCTCCACATCCCAAAAAGCGTGTCACACACTCCTCATTAGCTTATATATATATATGTGTAAGGAAGGGATGCCTAATGAAATTTGACGTGTGAC